AAAAAAAAAAAAAAAACGTTTAGTAAAAAAGCAAAAAGAGCTAAACGAGACACTGATTTGAGGTAGTTCACCGAAAATGAAAAAATGCTTACAAATTTTTGTCAGTGAGAAAGGCAATGGTGCGCAAGCTAGTAAACCCAACGAATTTTTAAAGTGTTTACCTGAGTATCACCGTCCTCAATAGGCTTCTCTGAGTCGAGCAAATCCACAGCCACACGCACCAAAATTCTCGTTCCGATTACTTGTTCCACGCGTGCTGGGCGTACTCTTTTCGAAAATGTTGAATCCAAAAGCTCTAGTATATCGCCTTTCTAAATGGTTGCTGTTTTTTTGGAATGTTTTTTCAATTAACACTACGCATATTAATTTCAGCTTTGCACTGTTTCATTACTGCTACTGTTGCTACTGTTCTAGCTATACATTAATATCCCCAACATAAGCAAGTAATCCTAGCGAAAAATAAAGGCTACCACTAAAGCACCGGTAACTGCTTCGATCGGGAGGACGAAGTAAACTGGTAATTCCTACAGGAGACAAAACGCATAAAAAGACAGCTAACAGAATGCTACAGCACTGCTCAAAGCAATTAGAAAAGTTGTCAGCTGCACTGTTAATAACCAGACCATAAATAGCAAGAGATCCATGTATTCCAGCTATGATCATCAGGCCACACGGATTACCGGGTGCGGAGTACCGATCTTGCCGAAATGTATATACAAACCCTCTCCTGGTTCCAGATTTCATGCACCAAAAATATGTACCACATTTTCGAGGATTGCACAGATGCTTCTTTTCCCGCGAACATCATTAACTGGCACACAATCTACAGACTGTTAGTGATGTAGACATTATGCCCCGTCCATTGAATTTTACGATCGCGAAAATATCGTGTTTTCATAGGAAAGAATATAAGAAATCTGTTAAAATTTCAGCAAAAGCTAACTTTGAATTTGCACGAACTCAATTTCCGAATTTGGATTTCAGGCCAGTTCGCCACAATTGTTTTGTAGGCATGTATGTTGCAGAGAATGTACTGCCGCCAATCCAACTCTCGTTCACGGATTGCCTCCGGTGGAACCAGTGCTCGTGTTTTTCGATCAGAAGCACAATATCCTGAACAACAATATGTACTTCGGCGAAACCAGCTTCCTCCCCTTCATTCGTCTGCTTATTTCAGCAGTAAATAATTGGCCAACGCAGGGCTGCCCGTACGAAGATGCGTTTTTTGCATAGATTCCCGCAGTTTATGTCGCTATCGGAATCGGTTTTTCCGGCAAATGTTTCTAGCTAAACAAATTAAGACTGGCCGCCAGAACTGGTAGGAAACACCCCCTTAAAATTTCAGCTTTCTAGTTTTCCTGCCTCCTCAGTTAACAACTTGCTGGAAAAAAACTTTCATGGACCCGCACGCGGGTACCACTCACACCGATGTCTGGGTTTGAGCTCGTTGAAACTTACTCAAACGGCGAACATTTTCTAAAAACTACAGTCTTTTAGCTTTTCAGGTTCTCGAGTTATGAACTTACTCGAAGAAAACTTTGGTGAACCTGTGCGTACGCACCACGCATGACCGAGGGATGTGTTTGAGTTCGTTGAGACTAATGTGGACGGGGAACATCCCATTAAAATTTCAGCTTTCTAGCTTTTCTGGCTCGTGAGTTATCAACTTACCCGAAAAAAATTTTGCGAGCCCGTACGCGGGTACCACACTTACCCGAAGGCTGAGTTTTAGCACATTAATACCTACTTTGACGGGAAACATACCCTTAAAATTCCAGCCTTCTAGCTTTTCTGGTTCGCGTGTTAGCTACTTACCCGAGAAAAATTTTGGCGGGCTCTTACGTGAGTACCACGCGAGTAGGGCAGCCCATTTCGGGGATGGGGTCCCGTACGTGCATGTAGATTATGTCCCCAAATTTTCAGCCTGTAGCTTTTGCCGGTCTCGAGATGAAAAATCGGTACTGACAAACACACAGACACACACACAGGCAACCCCCCCGTCAATATGCGTTT